AGAAGAGCAACCGGCCCCAGGGCACCCTGGGATCTCCAGTCAGAGCAGGCATTCAGAGCCACATCACCCTGGTCTAAGGCGGGCTGCAGCGATGGTTTGATAGACCAGCGCCATTCTCCCTGTCCCCCCCCCCATACACACTCCAGCCTCCTGCCACATTTTGCCCTCTTGCCTTGGCAAAAGCAAGGACTCGAGCAGAGCAGTGTGCGTCCTGTAATTTTTCAGGACTGTGGAGAAACGCACCAAATGTGTTGTAGTGCCCTGAATCCAGCTACCCTGATACTTTCAGCATTACCCCACCCCTTTTAAAGCAAGTTAAAAATATATTTTTCTATCTTTAATCCAACTACCCATGAAGCTGCCTTCTATTGATCGGTCCATCAAGGTCCGTATTGTCTACTCACAGTGGCAGCGGCTCTTCAGGGTCTCAGGAAGAGGTCTTCCACATTACCTGCTTTAAGTGGAGGTGCTGGGGATTTGAACCGGAGACCTTCTGCGTACGAAGCAGAGGCTCTACCACTGAGCCACAGCCCCTCCCCTCCCTATAAGGAGTTTACGGGGCCATACATGCGTCTCCCTTCCTCTCTTCTATTGTTGCGTTGTTGTTATCATATGGCTGTTGTGTGGGTGCAGGGTTCACGCGATGCAAAGATGACAGGACACAAGTCTGCAGGAACTGACTGAAGCCTCTCGGCTTCCCAGCGTTTATAAGCCTCTAGTTTCTAGTTCCCCCCCCCCTTTCATACATTACAGCATCCTAGTCATGAGACATGAACTAAGGAATGTGTGTGTGCAGGCAAGTTCTCTGTTATCTCTGCCTCTCCCCCTTTCTCAAGGCCAAACCGACTGCCTCATTGAGCAGTAAACAGATTCCATCTCGGGCTCTCATTATCATAAATATTTCAGTTCCCAATCTCCAGCCAGGAGAATAGTGAATCCTTCTGCACTGCTCTCATACATATGGCAGTGTGTAGTATAGCCAGGAGATCCTAAGATTGTCTGGCAGCTAGTAGCTCTTTTAGCATTATGCACCACTAGGCGGCAAGCTAGACTTGTTTTTAAGGCAAGAGGTGGTTTGCCGTTGCCTGCCTCTGCATCACTACCCCGGTATTCCTCGGAGGCCTCCCATCCAAATACTAGCCAGGGTCGGCCCTGCTTAGCTTCCGAGATCTGACGAGATCAGCCTAGCTTGGGCTATCCTGGACAAAAATTAGTACTCTCTGGAAGCAAGCCAATAAAAGCGATAACAATAATAATAATTTGACGACGACATATTAATGGGCATCGTCTGTATCTCCTGAAAGGTGGAAGGAAAAGGAGGGTTATGAAAATTCAGCAGCAAAGCCTTCGCTAGTCTGTTGGGATGAAAAGCACGCATTATGGCGCAATTAAAGCAAAATGACTGTTTATGGAGGCCATTACTGTAATGGATGGGTTAGGAAATATATTGCGTGATCCGTAATGGGGGGAGGGGGCTGTGGAGTAAAGGGAGAAGATATATGGGTGTACACGCACACTGTCATTTTTTGAGAAGTTTACCGCAGTAGAAAATGTAAGATAAGTCAGTTCCCGGTTTTCTGTGTATACAGTCTGGATTGGGGTACGAATTAAATATCAGTGATGGTATAACGGGTTGATTTAATAAATTGTCCGTGCTATATTGGAGGGGCAGTTCAGAGTAACTAGGCGAGGCTTCAAAAGGGTAAAAGAAAAGCCCGACAGGCGCTCGCTCAGAGGCTTAGCAAGGGCAGCACGCTAGGCAGGATCTCATCACTGCAGCTTCTCATTGGCCTGGTGCCTGCAGCCGAATAGGATGAAGCAACGGTTCTCGCACTGTTTGAAGTGAGGACGCATTTCTAAACTTACTGTCATCTGGTACTCACAGATGTAGAGCGGCTTCTTTTGCCTCTTCAGCATAAAGCATGGGGATCTTGAACCTCTTTAACGCTGAACAGTTATGCATGTTTCTGTTTAGCATTTAGAAACACTGAGCCTTACCGAGCCACCAGCTGCGTTCCATGGCCGTGTCACACCTTTCCCCAGAGGCGAACGCAAAGTGGCCGTGGAGCCTCCTGGAGCCTTCTCTCCTGGCTTACCCCGTTCTCTTCCACCTCTGCCTCCTCTGTAGCCTTGCAGGCCCCCTGTGGGAATGTTGCCGTTCCCAGTTTTGGGAACCGCTGCTATGAAGAACATTTTTAGCCAACGAGTCCTGCTTGGGAGGGGTGGTGGTGGGCGGGGAGCAGAGGCATCCAGCAACGGACAGCGGCAGCCGGTAGGTTTGTGAGCACAACGGCTTCTGAGCAGGAGCAGTCTATCTGAGTGCGGGAAACTTGGGATTTCAGCAGCCAGTGCCCTTCAGGTCAGTAACAGTTCTTAAACTTGTTGCAGTGCTAGACTGTGCTTCTGTGGAAGCAGAACACAGTTGGGAGCAGCAGTGTCTAGTTACGGCTGTGCAGATACCATGGCAGTTAGAAGATCCCTGCTGGATCAGACCAGGGGTCCATCCAGTCCAGCATCCTGTCCCACACAGTGGCCAACCAGTTCCTCTGGAGGGCCATCAACAGGGCATAGAGCCCGAGGCCTTCCCCTGATAAGAACCCATTCAGACGGGGCATTTACAACGGTATAGGTGCTGGTTGGAATCGGTGTACTTACTGGCATTCACACGTAGAACATCTGCCACCACTTTCATAAGTGGTGGTATCCTGAGTGAACCAGTTGTAACCGCTTTACCCCCATCTGATCGCTCTCCATCATTGTAGAGCCACTTCCGTTCGGAAGCCCGAGGCTTCTGCTTTTCGCCCACCATTTTTTTTTTGTTAGGTCGGCGATATGCACTTGGGCAAAGCTTTGCCCCGGCGTTTGTTTAAAAAAAGAGAAAAAGGTCCTTAGTTTAAGGTTTTAGAGGAGTCCGGTACCTCAGGGAGGCCCGTTTGGTCTTTAAACTTTAAAGGTAAGTCCTCTCTTCAGGGCATGCTTTTCGGGACGGGGTGTTTTGCGCATGCACGAAGATCACCATTCTGTGGATGGCTGCCTATGCGCATGCGCAAACTGAGTTAAAAAAAAACAACACCGTTGACGCCCGCTGGACGCCCGTTGGAACCGGTGCCATTTATGCCAGCTGAAACGCCCTGTCTGAACGCACCCACACAGTGGCCAACCAGTTCCTCTGGACAGCCAGCAACAGGGCTTAGAGGCTGCGGCCTTCACCTGATAAGATCATAAGAAGAGCCCTGCAATCAGACCAGGGGTCCATCTAGTCAACCATCCTATCACACACAGTGGCCAACCAGTTCCTCTGGAGGTCCAACAGTAGGGTATAGAGCCTGAGGCCTTTGTAAGAACGTAGGAAGAGCCATGCTGGATCTGACCAGTGGTTCATCTAATCCACCATCCTCTCTCACGCAGTGGCCAACCGGTTTCTCTTGAGGGCCAACAACAGGGCAGAGAGGCCGAGGCCTTCCCCTGATTTTGTTTCCTGGCTCTGGGATTGAGAGGATTAGTGCCTCTGAACGTGGAGGTTCCCCTCAGTCACCAATGGTTATTAGCCATTGATAGACTTATCAGGAAGCCACAACCCTCAGTCTGCAAGACCTGAGCAAGGCTCTTCTAATTGCGTGGACACCTCCCTGAGCGTCCAGGCAGCTGCAGGATCCACTTGAGCATTTTGACCCAGACCTGCTGAGTGGCAGCAAGACTGCTGTTGCATCAAGTATGACCATACCCCATTCCGAAATCAAGGGATTTTTCAGGAATTGAAAACAAAATCTCAGCTTCCAACCTAATCTTTTAATCAATATTCTTCCTAAACTATTAAATTCTGCTGGGCAGGCCTGCCCGCGCAACTGGTGACTCGCCAGAGCTACTGGGCACCCCCACGACTGTGAGCTTCAGCCTGTCCAGATGCTTAAGCCCCTCCCCCAAAACAAAACTCCTCCAAGAGGTTTCTCCGGGCCCTGCCAGGCTACATTTAGATTGGTCGGCTGGGTGTCATAGAGACCTCTGGACTTTTTAAAGGGAGGGGAAGTGTGAGGTAGTGGTTAGAGCGCTGGAATAGGACCTGCCCTCAAGCGAGGCCATAAAGCCTGCTGGATGACATAAGGACATAAGAAGAGCCCTGCTGGATCAGACCAGCGGTCCATCTATTTTATTTTAATCATCATGTTTGTAGACTGATTCTTCTCCTGTGTGGTCTCACAATCCAAAATGGAGTGGGGGGGGGGAACCAGGGGCGTTGTTTTG